TCGATTCTCCAGAGAATCGAGACAGAGAAAAATGGTAAACAATGATACGATCGATATTTTTTTTAATACTTATTTCTGGATATCTAAGGGCAATTATGTAGTTAATGAAGAAATATAGATGTTAACGGGGAACTCAATTTAAAAAGAAAAATAGAAAACAAAATATATTATTATAAGTCCTTTTCTGGGGATTTCAAAGTTTGGATTTGATTAGATAAGTACTATCTTAAACACGTTAGTAATAGTTGTTTATGTAGAGAAAATTTATCACAACTACAATTTAGCCACGTACTAGGGTCACAAAGCCGCTCTGTATGCATCCACGGCACGCATTTCACATACAATACATGTGTGCAATGCAATGTATCGAATGTTTACCACCATTCGATATTGAATTCGATACATTTGTAACGTGTCAACAACGCACAATACATATACGTAGAAATCGATTCGAAATAACGATGGAATATAGTATTACATCCCTATTTTCGAAACAACTACAATAAATTGTTTAAAATAAAACAAAAATAATTGTGAAAAGAATCTATGTAATGGACACATACTGTTATTAGATAGTGTCAGTTTTGTGTTTACGAGTAACCGTGTGTGTGCGAAGTTACGGAGTTACCGATTCTTCCACTTGATTGAGAGAACTTCTATTAAGGTACTAAAGTGAGGCGCGTTGCGTCCCACGCGCGTCTCAAGGAGGCAATAGACTACCATAGACGGGGCCTTAATGGGCTGGTGTTCAGCCGGGGCCTCCCGCTCCACCCTGGGCGGGAGAAGTCATTTGACGATTTCCCCCTGACAAAAAAGGTACTAAAGTGACTGTACAACTGGATCAAGTCCAGTGGGACACCATGAAATATTAACAAATATAATGGGATTTATTTGTTCAAAGCAACTCATGTCTCACACTCATTCTTCTAACACAAGTATCAGAGGTCAGTCCTCGTGGTAAATGTTCAACGAGCTCCCGCAGATCATCAATTACATAATGGAAGCTTAACTTAGATGGAGTTTCAATACAGATATCTCCGCGTACTCAGAACGTTTGCGTGTTAAATGGCAACCACAGTACTAGAAATGGTAGCGTGGACCTGCCCATACAATTTGTAAGGCTCAACCAAAATGGGCTATTCCAAAGATGGTTTGCGATGAACTAGCAATTTGCCATTACACGTACAGAAATTGCGATCTTAATCTTGTGAATTTACGTTGTAGATTTACTGACTATTGCTCGAGATTAAACTCTAATAGTTGTATTAATTAAATCTATAGTCGAATGATATTGTCACAAGAATAATTGATTTTAAATTGTGTTTTGTGATATCTACAGGCTTAATGAGCCATATTATTATATTATATACAGTTACATTATTTTATTTTGGTTATCTGCGATATAATTTAATAGCTATTTTTAAAATAGTTTTAGTTTAGAAGACTCAGAACCAATCGTTACCGTAGTACTTATGTTTCGCATCTCTCTTATTGTAATAATCTGTAGACTAACAGATGTACAGTTAGTAATAACAGGATATTAATGTTATAGTGCCTAATATGAGTTTCTTGGCCACAATATTCTTAAGTATTTTTGCTTCTATTAACAATGAAAGCTTTTGTATTTAGAGACGTAAAAAAGAATTGTTTCAAGCTCCAATTCACAAAAAAGCAATCAAGGTAGAAATAAAAATGCTCTAATTTAAAGCAAAGTACTTTGATTGAATCGAGTCAGATTAAACGTAAACCTAATCAATCCCCAAAAGCTTGAATCTAAATCAGCAATCGAAAAAGGCATTAGACGATAAAAACGAGAAAAACCACTTAAAACCAATTTGCAGCAGCTAAAAGCCAACGCAGTATATAAAGGGGTGTGCCTACGTGCGGCTTGCAAGCTGAACAGTGAACAAACCTGGCGCCGTTTTCGCTGCGATCCCAAACCGGTGGCAACGCCGGCTCCCTGATTAAACTCATAAATTGGCACGCCAGATGGCGCGCGCCGCGCTGTAAATCTGCAACCAATACGACATTTGTCTCTATTCCCCTCGGTACGATTACATCTCGTTATCTGGCCCGTAATCAATTCCGTTATAAAACCCATTCGTCAGTGTTATTGAATAATTCCCAACGAGACCGTGGACCGAGTTTCAAACGAAATTACAAAAGGTGAGTATTTCGAATTTTTCATTTCAGTTTCCATTGCTTATACTGTCGGGATTGCTATAAAACGCTCTGAGAATGAAGCGATGGACTTTGAAATACCAAGGTTCACGTTTCAAATGCCTGTGCTAGAATTCAGTGCGCGTCACGCATTCCGCCTCGGATGGCTCGTAATAAATCCACATTTATTACGGATGAATATATTTTCGGATTTTTCGTTTATAATCATACTTCTTGTTTACGAAACTGGAATGATCCAGAATCTCATTCGTACTTAAGTGTAAAAAATATATCAAAGTTATTAATAACGTTTATGAGAACGTGTGAAAAAAATATAATTAATGAGATTGTCGTATATGAAAATGTTGATTGATTGTATGTGGGCTTAAGAAGAAAAAAGTAAGAGAAAATATAATATAATATCATTGCACTATCTGTTTTGTCTCGTGAGACGCCCACATTTATCTTATTCTGTCTTTGTTGTGTGTGAAATACTTGAGAACTCATTTTTAGAATTTGTTAAGGCTTTAAATAATATAATATCGCAGTGTATGTATAAAAGAAAACCAACTTATGATAAGTGTATTTATATTTTTACTTAAATTTTAAATATATAAAAGTTCGTAATCCAAACTTATATTATGAATGCGAAAGTAAGTCTGTCTGTCTGTCTTTTCTACACCCCTAAACTACTGAAACTATTTGTGTGATATTTGGTACAGACATAGCTTGGAACTCGAGAAAGGACATAGTGTAGCTTTTAAACCAAAAATCTGCAGGAAGTCACTATTAGACACGAACAAAGTTACGGGCAAAAGATAGTTAAATATATAAAATACTCGGTAATACTTTTAAACGATAATTTAATTTCTGCGAGTAGTGTAGTCGTAAATATATGTATAATTATGATATATCATCTCACTGGATTGTAACGAATAATATTATTTAAATTATTAAAGTATTATAATTTTCCTAACCGATAAGTGTGTAGAGTATTTTAGCTTAAGTAGGTACCTATAAAATTGTCAATACACTATTGCATTAGGTTGCCCTGTAATAATAGTTGTATTTTGTGATAAATAAATATTAAAATAATAAAAAATACAGGATACGTTCGAAGAACCCACACTGACGCGATTTTATAATAAAAATCGAGTTGCCTATTAAGACTGTTGCCTACCTATTGAAACTGACTAATTAAAGTTTAGGAAGCGAGAAGTCGCTACGACACTGCTAAGTGAAAATGTGCTAAATCGACGTCACAAGATGAAACAATGAAACAATGAATTTATTTTTGCAAATAGGCCATAAAACGGCACTTTTACACGTCAATTTATATGTGAAAAACTAGATGAAGCCGGCATTTCCTATCTGACTACTCTGAGAAGAAATGCCGAAACAAGCTCAGGTCAGATATTTGAACAGCCAGAGTTGAGGGTATAAGCTCAATGATGTGCTGCCCATTTCGGAGCAGGAGATAGAACAATGTTGTCTTTATAAAATTCGGACACTTCCTGGACAAATCATAAAAAATAAAGATACAATATTAAAAAAAAAATTGTTAAAAATATACGATCCTACAAGAAACTTAAAAATAGCTGTGTTTATTTTTAACTAAATCTGCCTATTTACGATTGAGGTCAAGGGCGTCGGCTGCAAAAGAGATAAAAGAGTAAAAAATAGGTACTTAGTTAACCAAACATTCAGTCGGCAACCTTCTATAATATACCAATATCATAGAGTAAGTGGAATTTAATTTACCATAACTAACTAAAAGATGAATGGAAAGATATAGAGAAAATTACTACTGTTTCTCGAACCGAACTTTCCAACTCGACTTGAAGTTATTTGTTTTCCAGTACACGAGTTATATAACAAAGTACGAATATGTACAAAACTTGTTACTAGAAACTTAAGCGGGCACTATTTAAAGTGTAACTCGAACTCGAACGTTTGTTTAATTTAGAACATTAGTTGCGAACAAATTGGAACTATTAACGTTAAAATGTTGCTGCTAAAAATAATTAAAGACACGCATTCTCTTTTCAAAATTAAATTAGAGTTATAAATAAAGAAAGTTATAAATTTTAATAATTTTACAATATGATTGAAATTTAAGTACGATCCATCAAAATGATCCCATCGCATAAAATGCAGAATTAATTATTTCTACAATATTGATCCTGTTATAATTAAATTTTTTTATTACGTTATGGAATTTATAAGTGTATCTTTTGTGCATTTTCAAAATTGAGAGCACTTTTATATTGTTTTTTATGTGATACTCGTAGGTTGGCAAACGAGCAGACGTATACCTTTTTTTTTTTTTTTTGTCAGGGGAAAATCATCCAATGACTTCTCCCGCCCAGGGTAAGGCGAGAGAGAGTGTCAGACTCTTACTGACTAAAAACCCCCCCGTTCCTTCTCCTGCTCTGGGCCGAGGTCGCGGTGCCTCATTGCGCTTACCCCGCAGCCCCGGCTAAACATCAGCCCTTTAGGGCCCCGACTGTGGTGGTCTATTGGCTCTTTGAGGCGCGCGCGGAACGCTACGCGCCTTACGCTCGGGTCCGGTTCTGGTCGGGCGGCGAGCTACCCTTACTCGCCGTCCGCAGACCCGCGCTTACGGTGGCCGGAGATCATCTCTCGATCCCCGACGTCCGGAATGTCGCCTTCCGCGGCGGCTGGGGCGCGAGGAGGATAGTTCCCTCACGCGCTCCGCCTCCTCCTTTGCGAGCATAACTGCTTCGCAGAAGGAGGAGATAGCTTCCCAGTTCCTCTCACGCTGCACCATGGCCTCGATTAAGGCCGGGCGCGAGAGGTCGCCGCCGCCGATCACTTCCCTGAGAACACGGCGGTGCTCAGCCCAAGCAGGGCACTCCGCCACTGTATGCTCCACCGTGTCCTCCAGGTGATCCTCACAATGACGACACTCGGGCGTTTCCTCCCGCTGGATCCGAAACAGGAACCTACCAAAGCTGCCGTGCCCGGTAAGCACCTGCGTCAGGCGGAAGGTGAGGACGCCGTGGCGTCTCTCAAGCCACTCCTCAAAGAGGGGTCTTATCGCTGCTATAGTAGCGTGCCCGGCCCTCGGTTGCGACAGTCGCTGCTTCCACTCAGCCATGAGATCTCGCCGGAGCTCATTCCGCCACGCACTAATTTGGCGCGGCAGAGGATCCTCGCCCCGGCGACGCGCGTCTGCGCGCAAACTGTAGACGCGCGCGAGCGCCTTCGCTTCCAGATCCCATGGCGGTGATCCGGCAAGGAGGTTCGCCGCCTCCCCGGAGATCGTGCGATATCCGCGGATTATTCGGATAGCCATGACCCTCTGGGACGCGACCAGCGTACGAGCCGGCCGCCGCTTCAAATCCGGCGCCCACACAGGGGCACCGTAGAGGGCCATGGATCGCACAATCCCCATGTACAACCTCCGGCAGGAGACGTTTGGCCCCCCGAGGTTGGGAAGGAGCCGCTTGAGCGCGGCCCCAGACCGTTCCAACTTAGGAGCCAAACGACGAAAATGCTCCGTGAAGTTCCATCGGCTGTCGAGGACGAGACCCAGGTACTTCATCGCCGACTCGACGCCGATGGTAACTCCTCCTGCCATTATTTGGGACCCATCTGGAGGTGGCGCGTTCCGACGGCCATAAAAACACATGGCCTCGGATTTGTGAAGCGCCACCTCGAGTCCCAACAGCCGGATCCTTGCAACGACTGTCGCGACCGCTTGCGACATCAGGTCGGCCGCCGCCTGATGAGCAGACGTATACCTGATGGTAAGCTATCAGCGCCGCCCATGGACACACGCAACAACACAGGAGGTACGAGTGCGTTGCCGACCTTTTGGGATTAGGGTTTTGGAGATTTAGGGATTGGCGGAGGGGAAGGATTGGGCCTCCGGTAACCTCACTCGCACAGCGAAACACAACGCTGGGGTTGTTTCACGCAGATTTTATGTGAGGCCGTGGAATTACTCCGGTCGTGCCAACCCATTTATGCCAAGGCATGGCTCACCCACACTTATTATAACAAACATAATATGAAAAGATGATAAAAAAGCAATAACTTGGTTTGTTGCATACATAATAATACCCAAAATTATAACAACAAATTATACCCAAATTTATAACTTCGCTATTATCCTGGAAGCTAAAACTCAGTTACGTTACTCTTATTTTGCTCTACAGAAATTCTAAAGAACAACCGCTGTAAAAGTCACTAAGTCATAATAAAGTCTAATGTGTTTAATGCACTAAAAACACCGATAAACCATCACACATAAGGTGTATATTCGCGTAACATGTTTGCCACTATGACGTGTCATAAATAAAGTTATACGTTTTCTTATGTATACTGGATTTGGTTTACTTCTTCGTAAATATGGTGTAAAAATCCATATCAGACAGTAAACTTTACAAGGTACCTAAGATTTTATAAAATATACGACCTTGAAGTCTACATCAGAGCTAGATCTAAAATTGTTCACCTACATATAAGCATTGATAGACTATAAATTTTACAGTTCATACTTTTTTTATTGAAAAACCGGTCATTCACGTTTTTAAAGCTCCATTAATTTCATGTCACAATGGCACTATTGTACAAATCACACGTGTATATTTTGTCGAACATACTTAGAAGTTAAGTTTGTAACATAATGAGTTAAACAGAAAATGAGTAGAGTAACTACAATATAATGAAGATGCATGTCGCCTCACATCATCTGTGTATACAGTGCCCACTGCTGAACAAAGGCCTCTTTTTACACGAAGAAGGTTTGAACTCTAAACACAACGTTTGCTCAAGACGCATTAGTAATTTCAATCGTTGGATGATTAGAAATGGAATTTCGCAATATTTTCCTTCGTCGTCTGTCATTGTTGCCTAAATACACTTCGAACTTACATATAAATTAGAAAAAGTCATAATAGTACTTGCCAGATTTGCAACACGCACTATCATACATTAGAATCGAGCCTTGACATCCGAACCAAGACGACCTGTCGTCAGCAAAAATAAAATAATAAATTATTTTACTCAACGATTCGCTCTCAAACAAGACACATTTCCACTTTCACTATTGAAGTTAAGGAAAAAACAAGACGTTCGTACCTAAATATTTTATTTTTTTATATTTGTTTCCAACGAATGTAATTCTTCATACAGTTTCATTGAGGTTCCACAAATACTGAAGTTGTGTCATATTTTTCGAACCCCTTTTTATGCATTAACTTTTGTAATTAATATCTATTTCTGAGTACGTCTTTCTTTTGTTTCTGGGAGTCGTTTAGCGAAACGTTTGAAGTTGGTTATATTTTTAAAATATGATATAAAAGTTAGTTGTTATTTTTCTCCGGTTCAAATAATGCAACATTTTATTTCTGAAAAGACATTTCTTTGTTTGTATTTTAATAATGACTCTTTCAGTGCAGGAAAACCTCACTTATTGTTAATTGGACTGTACGCTTGACCTGGTGGTCATGTGCATATTATATTGTTACCTATTAATATCACATTAGACTGGAAGAATGTAGGTACTGGCATCAGCTTGGAGTTGTCATGTTGGGCGATGCTGGTGTACTTATTATGTTCGTAAATATGAGCCTTTAGAACTGGTCAATTGAAGATTGTCTAAATACAATAGTGTTACACTGTTCGCACATAATGGAACCGACTAAATAATGTAACAAAAATTTTAATTCATTGAAAAAGAATAGCAATGGAGTTTATAGATCGGTTTTTTTTCATTAGAACGAACTTATAACTTTACTATTATGACAGCCCGACAGACTTACACAAAGATAAAATATTCATATTCAATTATTTTGTTTGACGTTCAAAAGGGTTAAAAGTAGTCAATTTGAAATAAATGATTTGACTTTGAAATTGACTTTGGGGATTGTGGGTTTTAGCGCAATAATTTACCGCAGCCCTAGCCTGAAGCAGTGGAAGGAACATGATGGTTTTAAGTCTGTAAGAATCAGACTCTGAGTCCGTCAAAAATAGAACTATAGAAATTTATTAAATCTCAATCCTGACTACAAGCTAGAAAGTAAACTTGCAAAAGTCATGAAACATAAGTAAATAAACTCCCTAAAAGAAATCCAATCAATCCTACAACAAGAAACGAATTAATTCTCATGAATAACGTTGAAATAAATCTCGAATGATATGAGCTCGAGCAATTTCCACAGACTAAACAAGGCTATTCTCTTCGAAAAACATTGACTTACCAATAATTGGGTAGCATTGGTTGAGTCGTAGGTAATTAACTTTATTCGATATTAAAGTAAAGGTCACGCGAAATTCAAAGCAATCGCACAGTGAGGTTAAACTGATTAAGTATTTTATGATGACGGACTCATTTCTAGTCTAGCCTAGCTATGGTTATTTATAGCATAATTTGCTAGGTTTTTACGAACTTTTAGGTATCTAGAAAGACTTGCGATCATAATTTTCTAACTAAATAATTTAAGGATTTTTATAACTAGAAAGACGTAGACTGCACAGTTAACGCGGTGGCTGAGCAACCACCTGCCGTGAGAGTCGTGCGAGTCGCAGGTTCAATTCCCATTTGAAGCAGTTCTTTGTGTGATCCATAAGTTGTTGTTTCGAGTCTGAGTGCGATGTTTATGTGAAATTGTATGTAAATTACCACACACACACACGGAGAGGACAAAACATTTGGGCAACCCAAACTAGGATCGATTGCTAAAGTTCTGTGTCCTGTTTCTCATTCCTGTATTTTTTTTTTATAAAAGTATACTACCGTCAATTTGGTTCCGTAGTGAGAAATATTCTAAACGCCAGAGTACTCCGCTTCGCGAGTTATACTTGAATACGATCGACACGTTTATGAAGCAGAGGCAGGGCTAAATGTAACAAAATTTTGATAACGTTAATGTAAAAATAACTAGCAGGAACTCGTAGGAACTTTTTCCACTTGTAGAAAGTTTATAAGTCTACTAAAGTGCTAAACTAAACATAATAAAATTAAAGCAAATTCACCCTTAAACTCTATGAACGTTCCCACATAATATTCTCCCTTTAAATTACATTTTTAATAACGTCGTACAATCGCATATATAGCGCAGATGTGTGAGTACCAAGTTCTCCTTGGAGACTGGAAGTGATAACAATGGGAGGGCATTTCAATGAAATTTGCATTAGAATGCGTAGAGTAGTGCAACGAAGCCTTTGTGATGAGACTCCGTACGTGCCCTGCGATCGAGCGAATTTAGTTTTAAAATGTAAAAAAGGTACTCTTTTTTATCCCCGAGCAAGTTTAATATAATTATTTTTGTGTTAGAATTATTTTTTTGGAATATAAAAAGACGAACTTGTCCAACAAAGCGATAGGTATTTGATTGTCCATTTTTATTTTTATCGTCAATTTATTGTTAAAATGTTTACAACAGAATATTAACTAGATACGAAATGGCACTTTTAAGTGTTATTTTTGACACAATACATATTTGAAAAGAATATTCATTCAAGTATTCTATTTGTCTCGTGTACCTCATCATCATCTGCCTATAAGTGCTCACTGCTGAGCAAAGGCCTCTTCTCAAACGGAGAAGGTTAGAGCATTAATCACCACGCTTGCTCAATGCGGGTTGGAGATTTCAAACTTTTAATTAGAAATTATAAGTCCAGGTTTCCTCACGATGTTTACCTTCACCGTATGTCAGTAGTGTCTAAATAATCATAGAAAGTACATATAACTCGGAAAAAGTCACATTGGTTCTTGCCAGGTTTCGAACCCACCTTCTCATGCATGAGAAGCGGGCTCCTTAACCTCCGGGCCACCACGACAAATGTGTGTACCTAATTTTGAAGATTATTATGAATATAGAGCATTGGAACTGATTTGGGTAATTAAGCAATAACATTGTTCTAATGTTGGTTCCTTTAAGCCATGAACATCTAACCGATACAACAGCAGTTAAAAGAAACAAAATAAGAACCTAAAGTGACCCACGTAAGCTATAATTTAGTTTACATGTCTGAACAATTCAGATCTTAAAATAAAATAGTCATTCATCTGACCTCCCGGCTTCTCGGTCAATTAGTGACCAATTCTAGTTCCTTTGAAATCTAAATGTGATATCGACAGCTGTCTTGAACTAAATTACGTGGAGTCTTATACAATTTTAATGTGACATGGTCTTAAAAAACCCAGTGGAGTGGAATACCTAATGTTTCTAAGAAAGGTCTTGATTTGCAGTGTTGACAAAATTTTGTAGAAAAAATTCGCTACAGCATTCAAACAATTGATAGATAATGAATAAGCCTGTCTTTAGTTTTAAACTACAATGAAAAAGAATTGGTTCTTATCCTGTAAAATGCTATTGTTAAATGTATATCCATAAAACCTATACTTACTTCTGCCAAACCGGTATAATTCGTAATTTTTCATCTACTTCACACTTTATTTCGATTTTTCCAGCTTTCTTAGTAGTTTATTTCTAAGCAAACGTGTCTGCCAAATAGCAAGGAAATGTTCTCATTAGCAACCGAGCCAGGATCACGTGCTCAGTGGTTCCTCAGACATCTGGCTGCCAGACGACCGTCATGAATATTCGCTTGGCTAATCCTGTTAGTACTGAGAAACCTTTGCACGTCTTCTAATTTATAGAAGGTTTCTTTCTTTTTAAGAGTTAGTGAGAATTT